GCATCAGAGGGCTGTAGGCCCTCAATGATGCCCCCGCCCAAGTTTCAGATAATGAAAAGGTGTTCTGGAGGCATGCCAAATATCTCAACACATCTCAAAATGATCAGAATCTTGCCTTACCCCCAAGGTTCATGGCATTCTGGGAGAGGGGATTGAATGAACAGAAATGGCACCAGAGGCCTCTAGGGCCCTGAATGATGCCCTCAACCAAGGTCCAGATAATGGAAAGGTGTTCTGGAACCATGCCAAATATCTTGATACAGCTCAAAATGGTCAGAACTTGCCTTGCTGCCAAGGTTCATGGCACTCTGGGAAAGGAGATTGAATGAATAAAAATGGAACCATGCTGAATATCTGTGCTAGCTGTGCAATGACAGCAAATCACTGAGAGTGATGGAGAGAAAAACAGTGCAAGGATGATCTGCATTCAAAGATGATGGAAGAGTAAAATGTAAATGATAATGAAGAAATGGACAAGCAGAGCAACCAAGAGTCCAGAAACCATGTATATGTAGATCTAGAGTGTATCTGACACAACACTGAGTCAAGGCTGTTTTAAGTCAAAATATTTTTCTCCAATCAAATACCTCATTATTTTACACACTTTTCAGGTTAAATGTAACATACCAATACCCCCAGGCATTTACAATGAAGTCTGTGCTTTAAAATGAAACATGATGGCAGCCGGAATCTACAAGACATCCAATTCATTATACCAGTTCATGAAGTAATTTTGCATCATCAAGAAGGACAGAAAGTTTTAACAGTTAGTTTATAGCCTTAAGCCTCCACTCAATGCACTCGCCATCTAGCATTCAGGGTAATGCTGACTCCTGAAGATCCTGGTGAACAGTTTGGTGGAAGAGCAGGTCAAAATTGTTTAATGAAAAATTCACTTAGTAAGCACCATATAGATCCTGGTGAACAGTTTGGTGGAAGAGCAGGTCAAAATTGTTTAATGAAAAATTCACTTAGTAAGCACCATATATGTAAGCCAGTTCATGATAAAGTAAAACCCTCCTTTGCAATGGCTCTTTTGCTGCTCTGTAAGCTTTTGATCACATTCAAGATGTACAGAGCCATGAACAAGATCAACCCTCCTGCCATGATGCGTAATCTGGATGCTGAGATTCTCTGATCAAGCAATCTCTGTGCATGCATTTTTGTGAGAAATTGACAGTCAAGGCTATTAGAATGTAGAAACACACATGTTGACCAATGTTCTCATGACTGCTAAGTGCCTGCAGCATGGGCTCCTGATCCCTGCTTTCACCATTTTCTATCTGAAGCTTGGAACATTCTTGCACTTCATGACACAAATGAGGTTCAGATGGAGAAGCCTGCACACAGATTTGAATATTGATTGTTTGATCATGTATCGCATAATTGGTGGATACTCACAGTGTGACTTCTTATTTTCTCTGCGAGCAACTCCAAATTACGCCCCATAATTATATACTGATCCAGCAAATCAGCAAGCTGAGCCACATCAACTATGGTGTTTTGATCTGTGAGTGCCACCGAGTCTGAGACAGATGTGGAGGGGCAAGATGTCATGCAGTCATTCAGCTGCATCTTGATTTCATGTATCAGCTCCTCTAGCCTCCCTATAGATGATTCGTCTGGAATGTTTAAGTACCAGCTTGTGCCAAAGAGGAGAACCACGCACCATAGAAGTACTTCATAGCTTTCAGCAATGAGCGAGTTGTGCTCTCCAACTTCAGGACACGTTCGTCCAATGCACCTGATGATGACTGTAGGACATCGAGCTCCGCACGATGGATTGTCTGAAGAAATTATTTCTGTGAGGGAAACACAACTACTGACATACTCTTTCGACTCACAGCTTCAGCATTTACTTTCTTCAAGCCAATCTTTGCGGCATTGTAACCGGCCTTGATCTGATCCTCTTGCTCACTCATGCGCAGGGCGATGTCATAAGCTTTGGAATCTAGGTCTGATATCGCATTGTCTATGTCCTTAAATGTTCTCTGCATTGCGGAGAAATGATCTGTCCTCGGGAAATAGTCAGCAGTTGTGCGATGACGGTATTCACAGCTCACCTGAGCAGATGTCATCTTTCATTGGAGGAGGGTTAATTTCTTCGCCATATTCTTGAGTTAAGCACATTGCTTGCTCCCCGCCGCTTATATGCCATCTCGTAAGAAGTCTCTGTAATACAGTAGATGCATCAAGGAACGCTTCTTCGTGAGCTGGTAGTACTTCATCCAGTAGAGTGGACATTCGTTCGGCCTGCAGCGGCAAGCCTGAGGTAGATAGGGTCAGGTTTGCTAACAACAGCCGAATCTTGCCGGAAGGTAGAACAATTCGTTCCACAGCATGATCCGGAGCAGTGTTCGACTCGAACTCATCACGAGCCTCTGACAAGAACATGTCTTCTAGTCTTGCAAGGAGTTCTGTTTCGGAGAAGACGACTGTTGCATTTCAGATGCGACGAACTAAGCTGAAAACTGCGACGGGGAGGACTGACCATGCGAGATGGTGCTCCTGGCTGCGGAGATATCCGCCAAAAATGTGTCGCCCATTCGGAATGGGAACACAGTAGTACTTGCTGT